TTAAATCTAGGATCACACTGCTTAATGAGCGCAAAAGCCACAGAATAATCATAAGCAAAATTCTTTTTAGATATCTTATGGTTATCCACTTGTTATATTTTCGTACTAAAATTACATCTTAACCGCCTATATTATGTGCACTTTGCTTTCTGTGAACTGCTGATTCTCTGTTCTATGGCTGTTCTGTCTTTTGCTTACTTAGGTGCAATTTATGTTATTCCTTTAACATGAGAGAGTGTGCTGTTAGATAAATTGCAACTGCATTTGGGCATGGTGTATGTATTGCATGCAGTTCTCCAACTTGTTGTACAGAGCATTTGGACTTTGTTTTATTCAACTTCTCAGTAAACGAATGTTTATCTCCCCTATTGCACTTTGTTTTATTCCTCTACATATGGCCTCATTTATGTATGCTCATTTACGTTTATCTTATGTATACTTTGTTGTCCAGGTCATTAGAGGATTGGATCAAGGAATTTATGGGGGTGATGGTGTGCCTCCAATGCAAGTAGGTAGGACTTCAGAACAGGTTATTGTGTTCTATGTTTTTGCCATTTGTGAAAAAAGAAGATAACAAATCATTACCCAACAAATGTTGCACAGGGGGAAAACGTAAGCTCCACATTCCTTCACATTTAGCATATGGACCAGAACCTGCAGGATGCTTCTCAGGTGAGGACCCATATCTTGACTTGTTAGTTTTCCTAGGTTATTGTATCTTTTAACTCTTGCCCTTGGCCAAAGTCATAAACTCGTAACTTTCTATCATCTTAAAATGCCTAGCCTATACTAAGGCCATAAAATATGTGGTTAAGTCACTATCATCCTCATTATCTGTATATGTTTCTAAATACTAGCTATATACTATGAGTTAACTTCTCGGGACAGTTAAATAACACCACTGTCGATATTTGCTTTCATAATTTTTGATATTTTATGGTATCATAGTGCTACACCTTTCTTAAATGTGACGGTTTCTAATTTATTCCTAGAGCATGAGGAGAAATGAAAGCATACTCCGTGAATTATTTTGACAACTATTCAGAAACTGATATAATATATAATTTTTTTCTTATAGGTGACTGCAATATACCGGGCAATGCTACTCTTGTCTACGATATTAATTTTGTTGGTATCTACTCGGGAAATAGGCCATTGCCAGCAAATAGATAGGGAACCCAGATCAAGTGCATCTCCTGACTTTCCTGAAACTCAAAGCTTCCACTGTTAAATACAAGTTGAGACAGGACTCCTCAAGCATGCATATATGAGAGCACCTTCTTTTTGTACGCTTGGCTTGCTAACCGGAGATCTATCCCTGAATAAAGTCGGTATAGCTCCCGCCTATTTCATTCTACGTTCTACCTTACATTTTTTATGTATATAGCATTACCTCTATGGAACATATGAAAATTCCTATTAATGAACATACTTATCTTATGTAATTTAAACACTTTGAAAAAAACTACTTGTCCCTGATTTGAATGCTAATACCCATAAAAGT